TAGCAGGGATGTCCACAAAACAAGGTGTTAGATGCAGCCACTACCTCCCAAATCCCAAAGATTTAAAAAAAAAAAAAAAAGAAAAAAAAAGAAAAATTCACATGGAATCATTAATACCTCATGCGGTGATACAGGTCGTGTCACGTTAAAGCTTTCTTCCACATCTGGAGTACCCACATAGATATTGAGGTACCTGCAATACAAACGTTTCCAAGTTGAGCAACGACCCACGTATTTTTCAGGCAACATGAGGGGTGCAGGGAGCGTCTAATGAAAATGGAAATTCTTTTGCTGAACATACCAATGATAGCAACAAGCAACGATTCCTCCCCAAGTAACCCACTGTATTTGATCTAAAATTAATTGATTAAAATTAACTTGGGGCCTTCTGCACATGCAGCATGTTTTTTGCAAATAGATATAAACTGTCCTGTTGTCCCAGATTACTGAACTATAGAAAAACAGCAATATAAAGTACTCTTAACAACTGGCTAACAGCTCTGTTTAGCAGGTCTGTTCTTAAAGCCTCCACATCTTTTTACACTTTAAATAACAGTTAAGTCATACAGTCATGCACTCTCTTCATCTATACTCATATAAATGCCTATTTATACAAATTCATACATTCTAGACTCAATGACAAACCTGTTAGATAGCATGTATTCTACTGCTGATATATGTTGGTTTTACACTTACTTCAAGTACCACATTGGATCAGCATCACTTGTAACTTTTTCATTGGCCTTCATGATTTTCTTTATCTGAAAAAGGGGCAAAGAATCAACTTACTTGTATTTTTTTCTAATGATAGAGCCACACTCTTCCCACCAAGAAAGCATACCTCTACATTGATGAAATAGTTGAATGAATCTATGTGCTGCTTCACAAGTCCTTTCACCTAGAAAAGAAAAACGCATGCGGCAAATAAAATTAGCTCTAGGAATGTTTATTGTGACGGACACAGGACATTAAGCTTTGATAAGCACCTTTGTATCTCCACTGAAATCTTTGGTGTGGCGAGTTTCTGGAAGTCATGCCCTGGGGTGCCCTGCTCGTTTCTGGCTTCCCTTCAGACCSTGGGCCACTAAAGCAGCAGGGCCGCTTATGGAGGCCCTGCTGCAGCAGGCGGCCACGCGCCGGCACACGCTGCGACACGCGCTTGCAGGCTAGGCTTTAAATGAGCAACTGCAGCTAAGAGGCTGCGAGACTCCAAACTCCACRCAGAAAAGAGGGGAGCACAGACCGAAGAAGAAGAGATGCCACAGATCCCAAGCTGGCGAGCAGGGAAGGAAGGGCTGGGCTGGGGAGCAGCCCCGCGGCAGCGCGGGYGACACGCGGAGCTGGCGCCCTGCGTGGCAGGAGGCCGGGGCACGCCGGCAGCAACAACCCCGGCAGGGCGAGGGGCGCCGCGGGCAACGCGTGGTGCAACTTCCCTCTAACGGACGTTAAGGCGGGACTTAAGTGGCTTCTTGACATTGTGCAGAGGGCAAAAGTGCACTTCATGCAGCCCATACGACAGACAACAGTTCAGTCTGAAACTGTTAGAAGGAAACGGAAAATGTGGAATGATAAATCTWGCTGCTCAGAAAAGTAAGGTTAAGACACAGGAAAAATAATTCCAGAGCAAAGCCCTTGAGGTGGGAGTCCTGCTATCTCACAGAAACGCTGCACGTCGTATGATGCGAGCAGGAAAATCCTCTGCGTTCATCAGAGGACAGGACAGCTCCCCTTCTGCTTCTGACAAGCAGATGTCAACAGCTGAGCACTGACACYCCCACAGCAGCAGCCGGAGGTCGGTCAAGCCCTGGCATTCGGGAAGGAGGAGGTACCCATGGCCAAGGCTCTGCAGAGGCCACCTCTGCAGTGCCACTCGCTGTGACAAACACAGCTCCCCACTTGGTCTATGCAGGGCGTCCGCAAAGGCCACAAACGGGGAGCCACTGAAACAGTAAAGTTTCCTGAAAATATCACACCATGCACAGTGTTCATGCAGAATGGCCACACCCAGCAACGCCAAACTCCCCAAATTAATCCTATTAGCCAAAAAGCTAACCTAAGTATCAAGCTTATTCCCAGTTCCACAGAAGCAGGGAACCTTACTCCCGATTCCATGGAAGCAGGGAAAAGAGCTGCCCGGAGGAAGGTGGGCAGCTGTTCTGGGAGACAGCCAAAGGCAGCTGGGGGGGACATGAAGTTAGAGAGGAGACTGAAAGACCCACACCACGAAATGAATGTGCGGCACTGACCTTTAGAAATGCGGGAAGAAGCCTCCATTTTTCCTGAAACCAAGAAAAACAGTCTGAGATAGCTCCCAAAGAGGGAGCAAATAATTAAGACTATTGAGTTCTCTTAGAAGAACCCCAGCAGTGTCAGTGTCGGTGTCGGTGACAGTGTCAGTGTCGGTGTCGGTGTCGGTGTCGGTGTCGGTGTCGGTGTCAGTGTCAGTGCTTCACGCGCGGTCTGTCACCTCCTCAGCACAGCGAGGTGACCTTGGTCAGCAATGAGCACTAGGCACTTTTCACTCAAGGTCCAAAACGATGCTTTCTGGTTGTTCCCTCTTTCTAAACGCGACTTGTGCAGGGATACACACACGTTTTGGAGCCCCCATCCCACACGCACACGAACGCCAACCCTCTGGACGCTGTTAACACTCCCAAGCAGCTATTTTTCCGGCAAGGGAAGCCCAGCCCCGCTTGGGACTCCCGCTGGGGGTCGCTACTCGCAGAGGGGACGGCCCGTGAGCCCCGCGAGCACCCCAACGCCGCCAACGTTCGGGAAAACGCCCCGGCACGGCGGCGCGAAGCCGCCTCCCGCTGGCCGCGCCCCCGCCTGCCGCC